GAAACTCCCTGTTACTTTTCTGAAAACAAATGCGTTCACTGGTGTCTTGCTTGTGTGCTTAGATGCAGCGCTGCCACGGGGGTGGGAGTGGGTGGGGAGAGTGTAATTCTACAAAGGCTATTGCCCTGGATTTTGGATGGAAATGCCAGAACTCTGGGACTACACTTGGAGGGTTGGTTTATCCTCCAGCTCCTTCCTGAAATCTTGCCAGCACTAGATTTAAAGTTGGCTGGCCTGCTCTTGTACTCTTGTCAGGTGTAGGACACTGTTAAAGTTCCGAAATTTGAAATGGGCCAGGGCTTCTGTATCAGAGGTGTTAAACCTGTAGCCCTCCAGATGTGGTTGGATTCCCACTGCCATCATCCCTGCCCTTTGGCCATACTGACTAGGGTTGATGGGAGTTGTAGTCCAACAACGTATGGAGAGTCATACATAGGCTACCAACACCTCCTTTCCTGGGTCCATACAAGGGGAAATGCCACAAATGCATTGGTGAAAGAGGTTAAACCAGCCAATGTTCTTCCTTCTTACGCAAGCAATCCTCTCTCTTCTGCTTGGAAATCCTGACATGAGACACAAAAGCAAACAGATGCAGGGTTTTGTAGCATGTCTACCATTTTCCTGCTCAAAATAGCATCTCATGTTTACAGTAGCTCCAGGTGCAAAAGAAAGTGCCTGACAAGATGACAAGATGTAGGAGATAAATGTGCTGGCTTTGCCGTTGCTATTATATCAGCTGTCATATGGTTCAGGGCAAAAGCTTCAGCACATTCTAAGTTGCAATTTGATTTGATTAGGAAGAAATTAAGTTGAAAGTTTCAGGTATGGAATTCGTAAGGCAAAAATGGAAACAACAGCTAGGAAGTCACAGCTGGACCTATATACACTAGAACTGATGTGAAAAACAGAACTCAGCTTTGGCTTTTCGGTCCCTAATGCTTAGCCACAATAGTTACGCTAATTTTCTCCGATAGAATCTCAGTGACGCTGACAAACCAAGGGACTGCAACACATTCTCTTGGCTTTAGCAAATCTCTGATTCAGAAATATTTAATTCTGTCCATAGGAAAAGACCTTAGAACTTCAAAGAAAACACAGCAGCTTCTTAAGAATAAACCATGGGATTAAAGGCAGGGGCAGGGGGGATAAACTAACGTAGCCTGAATAAGGAGCCGTTTCTGAAAGGCAAAGCTTAAGCAAGCAAACAAAAAGCAGATGCTGAATTCATTCTGAAATATCCAGAGAACCTGAAAAGAAGGCTCGGTTTTTTTTTTAAAAAAAAGAATTAAAAGCATATACAGCATTCAAGGTTCAGTGTATCTCATTACTGTTGCCTGAGGCAACTGCATTTCTTAGGAATTTTGCAATGAGAAAAATGCTCACAATTGAGCCCTTATGTTTTTCAACGTGTCCTAGAGTGCCCGCAGCTTCAACCAGGTACCTGAGCCCTCTGTTACAGGCTGCCCAGCCCCTTCCAGTCTTTCTACAAGCCTTCATGCCCCACTCAGAAACCTAGCCTAGCATCGTCCAACCAGTTTCCTGGTGGTTGAGAAAGATGCTTCAGATCAGAGATTCTGCAAAGGATTTTCTCCACAGAACACATAGCGCATATTTCAGAGGGGCTTTGCTTAATTGTTACAGAAGATAAGACTTCCGAGTGGGGATTGAGCTTACCGGGAAATTTGGGGTCCGTCTTTGCCTCAGTGGATCAGCTGCTACTGCTGCAAAATACATTTGCGAAATGTCCTGGGTGTAAGTCATGATGAACTAGGAGTCTGGGACTCTCTAATACCCTCAGGTGCTGGTGGAGCAAAGGTGAGGATGTTGTGAGAGCCCCAGATCAAATGCTTCTGAGCAAGGCTGAAAGCAGGCACAGCCTTGTTTGCAGCTTGATCCATGAAAGACTTAATTGGCAAGGAAGAAATGATGCTTCTGAAGGGAGTGCATAACACAGGGATAGAAAGTATACTGTGCCCAGGTTCAGTCTCCAGAATCTCCAGGTAAAGGAAGGTTAGGGATCTTGTGCCCTCCACTTGTTGCTGGCCTTTGAGTCCTATCATTCCTATCATCCTTAGCCATTGGCCATGGTGACTAGGGCTGATGGGAGTTGGAGCAGAACATCTGAGATGTTACAGGTTCTGACCCCATCCACAAGCAAGAGAGGAATCCCAGCTGATTTCCCAGTGGTGAAGTGTCAAGTCAAGGGACACCTGCAGACACAGACTAGTACTTGAAAGCAAGAAATGATTTTGTTTTTATTCAGGCAAGTAACAGTGTAGGCTCAGCAGCAGACAAAGAGTTCAGGGGTCACAATTCAGGAGGGCAGGGAGTTCCAAACTGGATGGAAGCACCAAAGATGTCCCAACAAGTTTCCCCGCCCCTCCCACCAAACAATTAAAGACGTGGCATGGCGAGCTCACCCGCGAGACTCTCTCGCCTTGTGGGAGTATCATGATTGTAAGTAAGTTCTGCATTGGGGTGGGTGGTTCTGCTCCCATCTGCAAATGTAGCACCCAATTCTAGGCAACAAGATTGCACCTTTCTGCTCAGGCTCCCATTCAGTTGCTGCCTCTGCTTCCTGTTCAGCCTCCTCTAGCTGATCAAACCCTTCCTAGCCTTCACTGAGGTTCTTCTCTCCACAGGGAGGTTGGGGGGAGGAACCAGGGTCCCTGCTACCCCTTCCAAAGAGACTGTTGGGTTGGAAAGTGGAGAACCCCCTCCTCCAACCCGTTCCAACAATTCAGCCCTCCCACTCTCTGTTTCTTCCTCCACAGTCAGAGCCTGCCGACTCACGCCTGATATTGACAGTCTACTGCGAGAACAGGATGCTGAACGAGAAGGGCCTTTAGTCTCATCCAGTAAATCTACTCATGTTCTTAATGAAAAGATCTGATGTCCTGGATGACCTGTTCAGAAATGCTTCTGTGGTGGAAAGCATGGCATTATAACCAATAGAGTTTGGTGAGCATGTTGGAGTGATTATGCCAGGAACCTGTTACTAGGGTGAACCTGTCAGTTACAGTTTCTTTCGGCTTATCATTTTCCTAGTACTAAGTTCAGTTCTCCACATTTTCACATTAGTTTGCTCCCCTCCCCCACACAAAGAGCATCGTGAACATTCAGCATTTCAGTGTTCTTCCAATATACACATTTTGCAAAGCAAGTTTCACTAACACAATGCATTTTATATGCTATTTTCACCAACACCCTCATCTTTATGCACCCTTTATCGCAGTATATTCATTTTAAAAACATATTTTTTGTTTGGAGACCCATACGGCAAAATTCAGAGAAGTGTGCATGGTGTTTCAGAAAGTTTGTATTAGGCTTGGTTTTGAATGTGAGCTGAATCAAACTTTCCCCCTATTCGTACTTGTGGCTCTCCAGATGTTGCTGGACTGCATCATCCTTGACTATTGGCCATAATGGCTGGGGCTGTTGGGTGTTGGAGTCCAACAACATCTGGAGAGCTACAGGCTAAAACAGGGTTCCCCAAACTTGTTTTTGGACTAAAACTCCCATCATCTCTAGCTAGCAGGACCAGTTTTCAGGGATGATGGGGACTGTAGTCCAAAAACAACTGGAAATTCAAGTTTTGGAAACCCTGGTTTAAAGGCACACGATGCCACAATTTTGCTAAAGCTAAGCAGATCTAGAGCTGCAGATCACCAAATAAAGGCTAGCTGGTGCCAAGCTGGTGCTGTCTGCATACTGGAAGTCACGTTGACTGATTCAGACCTGGCTTTTGTCTCAGAACAAGCACCACAGGTATGGCAGATTTGCCTTCCAGGAGGAACTTCATGTATCCCGCATGAGCATGTTGATCTCCTTACTGCTTCTCCCTTTCCTTTTTCTGCAACTGTTCCTCTGACCTTTACCCACCCTGTGTTGGAATCTCAAACAGCCACAGTCAGCAGAGGAGTAGAAGCAGCTTACACGACAATAAAGACTGACTCCAGGGGCCAGAAAACCAGAACCAGCAGTGCAAACTCCATGTAAGCCTGTCTGGCAGCATTCTGCCACCAGCCCGTTCTCCGGCTATAGAATGGACTGTGCTTTGGTATGCGATCAAAGGGAAGTACAGTTCTGTGATAAACAGCAGCTCTCTTTGGGAAAAGTACACATAACTTGACTGTTAAAAAGCAGCACTACTAAGCCTAGTGATTCTCTGGCAGGAAGTAACCATTTGTCCCTGTCTCACATTAAGATGAATGGCACTCTGATCCTAAATGTTTGCACTCCTTGCCTACTTGCAATGCTGAAGAAAAGCACTCCAAACTGATTCCAGCTAGAAAGTCCAGATGTTACTGGGGCACACATTAGAATGTGACGCCATACAGGTTGGATTGGGCACTGACCCATTCTTGTTCTATTATGCCAACATGCCATTAGATCGTGAACTTCGTTAAGAACTAAGCTGGCAGAGAAGTGACATGACCATTGAGGACTTATAACAAAATCCAGTTATGCAGAATGACAACCACATACTTGGCTGCTTAGTCAAATACCACACCACCTTGTTTAAGCTGCTGGAAAAATGCAGTATAGCTGTTTTTACTCAGCAATGAAGAGAAACAGCTTGTGCTGTTGATCAGGTGATCAGATATTGTGAAGGTAGGATACTGAGAAGCAAACATCCGCGTGCACACAGTGATGGGAAGTTTGTTTGTATGTGTATGTTATTAAAAAGGGCACATTTCCCCATTATTTTCCAGCAGTAGACAGAGGGTCTAAAGCAACCTCATCTTAGATAAGTCCCCAGTAATAATAGCTGCTTAGGTTTTCATGTAGTAGATCAGGGCTGCCTTACAGACTTGCTATTTCATTTGTAAGTTACCAATTTAGCTCTTAAATCTGCAGTTCACTTTTCTGGTGTGGGCAGTGTTGAGTGCTGAAATAACATTAAAATTATATTCAAAGTCAGGTCCTGTTGCTTGAGAATCCCACTGTGGAAGGATGCTATCATTTTCATCACAAGAATGCGAAGACACAGATGTTTTGTTGGGATTAACTAGCCAGTTTTGTCCTTGAAGGTTTCCCTCCAGCATAAGCTTTTATTTGTTCTCATTTTTCAGCTTTTGAACACAAAACCAATATACTTGGATCACATGTGAAAGAAAGCTGCATTTGTCCTAAACATTTCTGTCTTTCTTATCTTTTAACTCCACTTTATTATTAAAGATTTGAAGAATAAAATATACATGAAACAGGGCAGGTGGTATGTTCTTGGAGCTTACATGTGGATGGGGGTGGGGAGAGAGGAAGTTTTCATCTTAGAACATTCTGTACAAGGAACAAAATATCACAAAAAAGGAGCAAAACTTGATGTATGTAGAACAAAGTATCAGAATGGACCAGTTCAAAAATATTCCTTGTAAAACCAGTTTTGCCCTCATGTCACGTTAGTAAGCTTAGCCCTCTAGTGAACTCCATGAACAACATATTTAATTCAAGAGGAGAAGAAAATGTTAAATTCTTCCACTGCCAGCTTCTGCTGCTTTAAAAATAAAGCTCTCCAAAGCAAAAGTGACAACAAATATTACATGGGCTGGTTGAGGTAAGAACCACGGGGAAAGGTGTGAATATCAGCGATCAGTTGAAATAGGTAGCTACGGAAACAGCGTCACACACGTAGTTTACTGATCAGCACAGGAAAGCAAGCCAACTCAATTCAATCTTTATAGCGAAAGGGTGATATCCGACTAGCTCGACTAGTTCATGGACAAAGTTGTTTGCTGTATAACATGTAAGGAGATCAATGCTCCATTAAAATAGTTCAAAACATTACAAAAGAAAGAAGACCTGACACACAAAGCAGAGGAAATTATAATACTTGATGGAGCATTACATCTTGAAACCTACTTGTTCCAGACAACTGGCTTCAGATCAGTTGATGCATTTGGAGCCATTTCTTCCTCTTTTGCTCTTTCTGGGAGTAGCATACCCATTCAATGATGTTTTGATGTACCCAAAGTTTTGGAATACAGAGCAAATTAAAAGGCAACTACCCGTTTTTCATCTTGCAGGTATTAGACCTGCTGTGTTTGAAATGGGGGTGGGGGGTGGGGAGCATTGTGGTGAAGAGGAGAGATCAGAACTTCCATAGAGAGAAATATATTACATAGACATCACATTTTAAAGAAAAGAAAGTGTCAGCTCCAAGGAGGACAGGTTGGTAGGATACTGCTTCTTTAATACTCGATTCTGCTCCAGTAGAACATGGTACAAAGAAGGACCCAAGTCTGCAAGGGGAAAAGAAAACAACCACTCAGGAAGGACCACACCTTATGCCATTGCAACAGCTTACTTACGCAGCTTGGCCAGATCTCCCACCCCAAAACTCTACCAGCCAGAGGGACAGCCTGAAGTCAGTCTGCACAAACAACATAATTATGTGGAATGGAAGTAACTCTGGGCTGCATCTACTATATTTGACCCCGAGGCCCAGTTTCTGTGGGATGTTTGACCACAATGGAGAAATACAGATGAAAACCAATGCACTGGAATTAAAAAGAAGGAGACCTATATGCTGAAAAGCAGCAGTAACAAGAGGTTTTAACAGAAGGCCCGCCAAGACTCCCAGGCTTTTTTTTTTTTTAACAATTCTGTTCATCTTCTAATAATGTTAACATTTTAGTACTGTTTCCACCCAAAGCAGAAAAACTATCTGTCCCTTGTTGCAGCATAGCTACAATCTATTTTCAGAACATTCAAGACATTTCCCATTGGATAAGACAAAAAGGAGGGAACAAAAGTTTGGAAGTGGAGTGGAAATCCGGTTGAGGTGCTTTCCCACTGACCCATTCCTTTTAGAGTTTTTTGGGGGGGAGAAGATATTGTGCCAGAAGGGTACTTCTTTCTTGATGCCTTCTACCACACAGACACCCTGGCCGAATTCCTGCTAGATTCCTATCCTACAATATTAGAGAGAAAGAGAGAGAGAGAGAGAGAGAGAGAGAGAGAGAGAGAGACTGACTATTCTAGTTGCCTGAAGCTATTAATTAATTTGTGGGTCCATATTCCTGCTTTTGGGAAAGATTGAGGGCACAAGGAGAAGGGGACGACAGAGGACGAGATGGTTGGATAGTGTTCTCGAAGCTACCAGCATGAGTTTGACCAAACTGTGGGAGGCAGTGGAAGACAGGAGTGCCTGGCGTGCTCTGGTCCATGGGGTCACGAAGAGTCGGATATGACTAAATGACTAAACAACAACAACATTCCTGCTCAGCACTGATCTCTCCACCCGCAATCCCACATTGGTCATTTCACAATTTTATTTCTCTGTGCTTATCATTTAGGATGGGGTGGGGAACCTGTGGTCCTTGCACCAAACGTGGCCCACCAGGGGGTTCATCAGACCACACCCATCTGACAACTTATGTGATGTTAGGTGATTGACAAGTGGGCACCGGTAATCTGATAGGATCTAATAAAGATCTGCCCAAAAAGGGTTCTTCACCCCTGATTTAAGTGATTTGTATACCCCTGGGTGGTGGAAATATTTGCTAAGCTATAGTTTAATCTTATGAGATCTTTACCACCCTTAGGGCTCACAAACTCCCACTTCCCCCTCTGTTATGGCTGCATTGATGAATCCTTAAGCTTCCACTTCTATTGTAGATCAACCAAGTCTTGCCATGTCATCTGAAAACAACAAACGGGGGTAAACTATGGTTTGCTTTTAAAAAAAACCCAACTTCAAACCATTAACTACAGTTTAGGGTTTGAGTGAACAGCTACTTGAAATTGGTAGCAGAAACTTCCGGTCTCTTCCTTTTAGCTGTGCTGGATGCAAAGAGAAGAAGGGGGGGGGCACACAACCCAAAGTTTGCAGTGGCTCCTCCATGTTTTTGTATTACATGCAGACCAATCTGTGCTGTCCACATGCCTGTGATTAGGCAATAACCTGTCTCCCAGGTTTATTCATAGTCATTTTACTGTCTCCCTAGAGGTCATTTCACATTTACACTGCTGCTGGTTACACCAGTTTAGGCACTATGTAAACATAGGTTGGTATTGCAAGTGTCCTGCAAGGATAGTCCAAACAAACTGGGTACTCGAAACAAGTTTTCCCGGATGCAAAAGGCTTATTTGACCTTAGCTGGCTCAAAAAGCTTAGTACTGATCAACCCATAGGCATTGTTCCAAAATAGGAAGAAATTTTTAAGAGTTCTTCCAGCAATGTCTTCCAGGTAATCAAGCCATATTATTTATCTATAATTCATTGATAACCAAGTGACATTGGCTGTATAGCACTAGTGTACAGAATAATATGAAGGAAGAGACAGGTCTCTGCCTCAAGTAGCTTACAATCAAGTTCTAAAATGGCAGGAGGGTGGAAGGGCAGCAAGAGTAAGAAGGGATGAACTAGTTTCAAAGGGGGATGAGTGATAAGGAGTTAAGATGCCTCCTCTTAGCTGTTGTGTCTGTGCAGGGACCTACTGTGCTTTGTGGTGTGTGTTTGTGTCTTTTTGGCAATAGTCACCAACATACTGTCGTTGAAGGTAAAAATCCTGCCAACTGATTTCTACCAATAGAGAAAACTAGGAGCTATAATTCTAGAACAACTGTGTATCATCATCTTCATAAACTGCTACATTCAACATATTATAAAAATCATCAGGTTACATATTATAAAAGTCATCAGGTTCTGACACCATCAGAAGTCAGTATTAGTTCAAATATGTCATTCATGGCAGTTAAAGCTTTCTTAGGAAACTGAAGTGAATGTATGATTGGAAACTTGGAAGCAATTAGCAAAAAATAACTTAATTTTTGTCATTTCAATAAAGAAAACTGTGGATTATAATAAGTCCAAATGTCCAGGAACTTTATTCTTAAAAGCCAGTGGGTGGGGGAGAGAAAGATGATGGTGATGATGAATTGTGCATTCTTCACCCCAAGGTCCCAGGGCAGGTTAAAACAATTAAGACAACACGTTTTAAAAACTGAAAACTCAGACATAGCACCTGTACCATTCTGAACTCAGAGAGTCCCCAACAGATGCAGAACAAGTTTCATGCTTTCGCTAAATAAGAGGTATCTTACCCAACATGCAAGACATTACAATTAGATACTCACAGTCCAGCACAGAATGGCGAAACCAAACCAGGCAACACCCCAAGCATGTCTGTCCATTGGGCCAGAGATGATTGGATAGCAGCCCTAAGTAATCAGAACAAACCAACAAGAGAATCAGTTTCAGGGCAACCAAAGCATCATTCCAGACATCACAGGCTTTAGCTTAGAGTTGGTGAGCTTGTCTAGAAACTTTACAGCCTCAGGTTAGTTCACTGTTTCCAGTATTAAGCCTTGGAACGAGGACTGCCGCAGTTAACCTGAAGTCCAAACATGCTTTCAGGGCCCACTTTGTAAAACACAAAAACAAACTTATTAGCACTCACACGGCTTTGCTGCTATGTCTCCCAGCTGCTGTACACACTGCACATGAGAGTGCATCAGCCACAAATAATAACAACAATCATTTATTACTTATTACTTATTACTTTCCCCAGCCACTCTGGGCGGCTTCCAACAAGAGATTAAAAATACATTAAAACATCAGTCATTAAAAACTTCCCTAAACAGGGCTGCATGTCCTAAATGTCAGATAGTTGTTTATTTCTTTGACATCTGATGGGAGGGCGTTCCACAGAACGGGCGCCACTACCAAGAAGGCCCTCTGCCTGGTTCCCTGTAACTTTGCTTCTCGCAGTGAGGGAACTGCCAGAAGGCCCTTGGAGCTGGACCTCAGTGTCCAGGCAGAACGATGAGGGGTGGAGAGGCTCCTCCAAGTATACTGGGCCAAGGCTGTTTAGGGCTTTAAAGTTCAGCACCAACACTTTGAATTGTGCCTGGAAACGTACTGGGAACCAATGTAGGTCTTTCAAGACCGGTGTTATGTGGTCTCGACGGCAACTCACAGTCACCAGTCTAGCTGCCGCATTCTGGATTAGTTGTAGTTTCTGGGTCACCTTCAAAGGTAGCCCCATGTAGAGCGCATTGCAGTAGTCCAAGCAGGAGATAACTAGAGCATGTACCACTCTGGCGAGACAGTCTGCGGGCAGGTAGGGTCTCAGCCTGCATACCAGATGGAGCTGGTAGACAGCTGCCCTGGACACAGAATTGACTTGCGCGTCCATGGACAGCTGTGAGTCCAAAATGACTCCCAGGCTGCACACCTGCTCCTTCAGGGGCACAGTTGCCCCATTGAGGACTTCTGTCTTGTCAGAATTCAACCCAATCCATCAGCTGCCATCCATTCTCCAATCGCCTCCAGGCACTCACACAGAACCTTCAACGCCTTCACTGGTTCCGATTTAAGAGAGAGGTAGAACTGGGTATCATCTGCATCCTATTCTCCTGCCCCTGTGCTTTCTATTACCCCACCCTAAATAGAAAGCAGGAAGAAATAATCTTTTCTCTCTTTTTTTGCAGCTGCAAGGCTTCAACCTTTTATAACACTTTTGGTTTTCAGCACTTCACCGACATTCTGGGAAGTAAATAATTGAGATAAGCATTTCAATCACCCCAAAAAGTAAGACAAAGAAGGTATTCTTACATCTTTATGGTAATAGCCATCCATCCCCAGTTTGCAGGCATCCACGTTGATTGACTTTCCTAGAAGATCCATTACGCAGCATTGGCGTGGCCAAGGAAAATCTGCATCTTGGTTCCTTTTTCTAAATACAGAGTTATATGCTTGCCAGTCTGATGGGCCAACCACACCGCAGCACTTATTCTGGGTTTAAGAAGGAGAGAGAAAGTTGCTCATTAGGGTTAAGGCAATTAAGCACCTTGTGCGACATTCAAAAACTAGAGAGAACTTTGCTGAGAAGGAAAGGAATGTAACATAATGTAGGATAGGCTGATACTCAGTTAGGGACCCCATGCTCTACAAATAGTGAAACCACTAGAATATTGCCGGAATCTTCAGCTGCGGTCTCCTGCCCTCCCAAGTGAGGCCTGCCTGGCTCCAACACAGACATACTTCTGAGCACCAGCTTAAGACTTTCTCCTTCCCTTTGGGTATTTCACGGAATTTCATCCAGCTGATACAAAGCTTTATGTTAGTGCTGCACTAGACTGCTAAAAAGTCCCAGAACATTCCCCTTACCCAGGTGGAAGCTGGTGTTTTATGTTTCATATTTTAGGTTGTTGAAATTTTGCTTCCCACCTCCACCAGGGTTGTTGTTTTTAATGATTTTAAAATGTGATTGTAACTGAGCAATCCAACCCCCCATGGCACTGGGTAGGATGGTGGGTGGAGCTGATGTGGACAGAGATGTCCTTCTAATCAGCTTTCCCAGCTATGCTGGCTACCAAGAGTGTGGACAAGACCTCTGCTGGTAGAATGCCTTGAAATGGGGTATTTCAGAGGCAGGAACTGGGAAGGGCTGAGCCACACTAAGATCCTGACTCGGCTTCAGTGCCATTGCGCAAAAGCTTTTGACCATATGGCTGCACCAGCTCTAAATTGATGTAGTGAGCCTTAACCTTCTTACCTGGCAACAGTGCCACCTTCATAAAGCCCCAGCATGAAGGTGGAGGTGGATTGCAGCCTTTGTCACCTAAAGACTGTCCTATGTTATATGACTTATTAATATATTATTATATTATATTATATTATATTATATTATATTATATTATATTATAATATTATATTTATATAAATTATAAGAACATAGTGTGAGTACCACATCAATGGCCTATGTTTATTACAGCTGTTCTGACTAGTAAATCCTGTAAATTCACCTGTAGATATCAAATATTTTTGATATTTCTAGGCCACCTTTCCAGGGCACAGATGCCATCCTAAGATGGCTTACCTAAAACATAACGGAATCACATACAGTAGTTGCAAACAAAAGGAGCCTAACCATACATTGCATTCAAAAGCCTTCAGGTCTTGGATGAATCCTTTTCATAATTCTATTCAACTGAGTGGGATTCGCATGGAAGGCATGCTTAAAATAAAACTGGCCTATATTATTCCCAACTATTCAGTCTGGATCAGGATAATTAAATCTGGATCAAGATAATTTCATTCAAGTGTCGAAAGATGGTGCATTGTTCCAGGTGAAGTAGAGAGAGCAGTAAAATATCTCAAGGAATTTTAAACAGAGGTGTCTACTCCAAACCATTTATAGGCCAGTTCAAATCCAATACATGCATTTTTTATTATTATTATTATTATTATTATTATTATTATTATTATTATTATTGACTTTATACACCACCCTATACCTGGAGCATATACTTGCAATAACATCCACCTGAGTTCAGCTGGGTTAATCATCCCAGGATTACAGTTTTAGCCAAGTTTAGCTACTACTGTGCTAAACAAAGTTACTTTCATTTTATACCACATGTTCATTGGCCCACATTTATCTAAGTTTTTCGGCTAGCAGAAGCCAGCTTAACATTTCCTGCTGGCACAATGGGACTTTGCTTCCCACAACTGCTTGGGAGGGTCAAGAGAACCCCAATAGCAGCGTGCAAAGGAAGGAGAGGGGAGATTGTTCTGTCTGGTAAGCAGAAATTACTGTGATGGTGGAAGAATCACCTTAGCACGACTCTGAGTTCCACCCATTATTTTTATATCTGAAGAAATCTGAATGTGTATCAGTACAGCTGGGCTGACATATGGAAGTTGGATAATATGAGTTTAAGAAGTGTTGAAAGGTGGTGCTTCTAATACTGGGCAGTAGCAAGATGTGGAAAGTCATTGTTAATACACTGACCACTCTCAAAAACATAACCCTTCGCCTTCCCCGAAGGAAGTGTGCACAGCAACATAAAAGTAAGAATAAACAAATACACTTAAGAATCCAACAGAAGCCTTAGAAGGGATTTAGCAGCATTTCATTATTAATAGTCGTACAAAACGTAGGAACCGTCCAGCAAAAACTTGTTTGCTCACAGGACAGAGGAAAGATGTGCCTACAGAAGCATCAGACTAGAGAGTCTGACAACATTTAGAGCTGTATTCTTAAGGCTGGAGCGAAGATTTACAAAAATGCACCCCTCATCATTACCTGCAACATGAGCCGATCCCACGTCCTGGTGATACCTTCACTCTTCCATTTGTCGTCATTGTTGATGGGGTCTGGATTCTGGTATTTTTCCAGCATTTGCTTCAAGAAGAGATTGGGGGTGAGCTGCGTGACAATGAGAGAGGGGTGTATGAATGCCAGCCAGATTTCTTTGGGGAGAAAGAAAGACTCTCAATAGGACCCAAAGCCTCCATCCCAAGTGATAACCAACAGAGGCTACATTCCTGGTGGAACGCCCTCCCATCAGTTGTCAAAGGAATAAACAACTATCTGGCGTTTAGAAGACATCTGAAGGCAGCCCTGTTTGGGGAAGTTTTTTAATGACTAATGTTTTAATGTATTTTTAATATCCTGTTGGAAGCTGCCCAGAGTGGGTGGGGTATAAGTAATAAATTGTTATTGTTATCATCCAGACATGGTATTTATTGTGTTTGTTTTACTAAGTATAATGGTACCACTTCTTGTCCCAATTTCTAACATTTCTTTCACGCTGCAGAACCTGTATACCTCACCATGTCACATTAAATCTTATTCACACCAGTAGGTTACTACAGTGTGAAAGGAACATTAGAAATTGGGATTGCCACCTCCTTTCAGCAGCTGTTGAGGGGAGAGGATGATCCTGTAAGGCCTTGGCTGAATACAGTCAACAGCCCTTTGTAAAACTCCCCTGATTTTCCAGGTTTCCAGGCTTGCAAAATTTTTTTTTAAAAAAGAGGAGGTTGAGGAAGAAGAAGAAGAGGAAGAGGAAGAGGAAGAGGAAGTAAACAACAGGGGAATGAGAACAAAACTTGCACTATCTTCCACTTGATTTCCGGAATGGCATTTACTTGGTGTGAAAGCTCAAATATAATGCGGGAATTAGTAGGGAAATGGAATAAGCTCCTGTGTAAGTGCAGAGATACCCTTGGCCAGACTTTGACAGAGGATTACATCATGAGGAAAGTTCAAGGAAATAAATAATGAACAGTTTGCCATTCATTGCTGCCTAAACTTTTGTTAGGAAATGGCCAAAATACTAAAATTAAATATCTCCAAATTACTTGATAATCTAATAATTTATATAATCTAATAAAACCTAATAATACTTTTGAGGCCACAGGTGTGGGCAGGAAGCTCTCTTTTCCATTTAAAAATACTTGCAAGTCTCCCACATATTGATTGACTGGTACTATTTCTATGCTGCTTTTCACTCAAATGAATCCCAAAGTGGCTTACAAACAATAAATAATATGATAGAACATAATAAAACATCATAAATATAGCATAAATCATAGAGAAAAAATAACAAATCATCAGTCATATATATTCTTAGCCATCATGTTCATTCTGCTTAGAGCCTCATTCTTGTAGAACCATATGCCTTTGTCAGATGTGCAACCCAGGCCCAAGCCATTTTAATTTTATTAATTTATTGCTAAACCACCCTTCAGCCAGAAAGATTCTGGGTCAGTGTACAAACAGACAGAAATAAATAAAATCCATCCATACCAAATACTTTTGTACAAAACGCCTTCATACAAACTGTAAACGGAGAGGCAACACAATCTGTGAGGCAGACTGAGGAAGCACAACCATTTAAAACAGGCACTCCCAAACTTGGCCCTCCAGATGTTTTGGGACTACAATTCCCATCATCCCTGACCACTGGTCCTGTTAGCTAGGGATGATGGGAGTTGTAGTCCCAAAACATCTGGAGGGCTGAGTTTGGGGATGCCTGATTTAAAATGTCTGGGCAGATCAAAACGCCTTGTCCTCATGCCAAAAAGATTGTAATGCTGGTGCCAGTTCAACCTCTTTGCGGAAGTCCTTCCAAGTTGGGTCCCCACTACAGAAAATGGCCTCCCCTTCCAACATTCATGATGTACTTTTGCTAAGGAAAGCACCATCAGAAGGGCCTCCGCCAAAGATTTTATCCTTTTCACCTCAAGGATGAAATTGGGAAGATCTGAGAGAATGAGAAACCAATGGCGCAGAGTACTTACAAAGTCTCGGTGCACAGCTGCTGTGATGCTGGAGGCAACTTCAAAGGCAAAGACTATCATCAGCAGGATGATATACTGAAAAAAAAGCCAAAAACACAACACCATGTCAACAAAGGATGCTACGTACACTTAGCCGTCAGGTTTAGATCCTTGAGATGAAAAGGAACACATGATTCTTGGGGTAGGTTGCTAAGCTTCTACTTTTTCCTTCTGAAAAGGTAGATTAAGAGCAGCCTGCCAGACCAGGCCAAAGACCCATGTAGTCCAGCATCCTTTTATTACAACAGCCAACCAAATAACTACAGGAACTCCCAAAGCAGAACTGGAGCAAAAGAGCACCCCCCCATATCCCAGCATAATCCCCCCCTGGCATTCAGTGGCATACTGCCTCCAAAAGTGGAGGCGCTCATTATTTATTTACTTAAACAATTTATATACTGCTTAGCTACAACTGCTTCCAAGCAGTGTACAGAAAATACACTAGAGGAAAGGTAAAAATTAAAACACCTGCTAGAATAATTAAAAAAATAAATAAATAAAAAATGCCTATTTAAGCTCAGCTGGAAGGAAGTTTCATAAAACTTGGTCCCCAATTCAGAGCGCACAATTCCTGGTGCAAATGAGTCATGCCTCCAAGTCATAGGAGACCACTTACAGTGACTCCCACAAACACCTCAGTGATCCTATAGCAGAAAGTTGTAAATCTTGATTCTATACTGCAAAGTAATTTCCACCTCATGCCCACTCTATCTTCAATAGGAAGATCTGTTTTGGGTATTAAAACAACAACAACAACAACACAGTTCCTCCTAAACAAGGATGAATTCGTGGATTGTAATAGCTACATCATCTCTTTAAAAAGAGATGTTTCCTTACACAAGTGTCCTTCAACTTGGGGTCCCCAGATATTGTCTGATGACAACTTCCATCATCATAAGTCAATTTAGCCATGGGCATGGATGACAGGTGTTGCAGGTAGACAGTATCTGGGGGCCAAGGCTGAAGAAAACAGCTTTACACTACACTAAGATTTCAGTCATAGTGAACTGGAAGCTTTTTCCTCTCAGACTAGAGACTCATGGATACAATTCCTACGGTGACATCCTCTTTTCTATTCTTTTTTTGCAGTTGTGCTTTGTGGAATGATAATGCAAGGTATCTACTCAGAATAATATGTCTCTCACTTTTTCTGCCATATCTTTCACAATGATTGACAGCAAACTATGCACACATAATTGAATAAGTTTCTACTTCTTCTGTGCTAGAACTGCAACAGAATGGAAGACAAAACATTAAGTTTCATTTGTGCACAATGTCCCTGACACTCATGATTATTCCATTTTCTGAGACTCTGCACAAATAGTAATAACTAAGTTGCCAAGGAAGTACTCTCTCCAACACCCCTTTTACCGTTTAGGAAATTCCTTTGGGTACAAAAGTAAGAAATATACTGACCATCGTCTTAGAGAATGCTGAATACTCTTGGTGACTATCCAACTTACCACCAATAGCATTGTCCTATTTGACTTCACGACACCAACAATACCAAGGACTGCCATACAAAAGAAAGCGAAGCCAGTGAAGATCCCAATCCAGGCAGCACCATAGATGTCGTCATTGTCGGTAGCTTCCAGCAATGGATAAAGGGTTTGCTGATCTGACACGAAGAATATACACTCTGCCATGAGTGCAAGGCCACAACACTGAGAAGACACAACCAAACAGACATATCACTGTCAACCCAAGGGTTTTTGCTTGACCTGAGGACAAAAACTTGAGCCCATATTGAACACACAATTCAAAAGTTTGGCTCACTCATCTACTACTAAGGGCATCCCACATCGTCCAACTCTTGTACAAATTTGTGATTGAAAGAACGACACATTGCTATCTACACTTCTGCCACCTGACCTGTCGCAGCTAATTCTCCATCTTCAGATTTATTTGCAAAGAAGCTAGGCAATAGTTAACACGGCAATAGTTTTCTTGCATTGTCCATTGCTTGTGTTTGAGTTAAATGCTACTTGATGCCTCTTGTGCCAGCACCCCTCTACCTGACATATACCAGATTTTGCTGACCTCTATTCTACACAAACACCTTGCTATTCTTTTCCTTTTACTTATTTGAAGAGTGAAATGGGAGAGGTGCCTTCAAGGTTTTTTCAACAACCCTTCTTGCCTTGCCAACACAAATATATTTATGCATTAAATATATATATATATCTAAAAACAAGGTAGATTTTTTTTAAAAAAATAAAACACACAAAATTGCATTTACAATCCTCAGAGGAGGGAATACAGTGAACTTCAAATGTGACAAGACTATTGGGGATCAAAAATGTGGATCTATACTTTCATCTGTCTTTGCAGCCATAATCATGATACCTTCTACTACATAAATGCATATGTATTAATGGGATAATTTCAAGAGACATACATATCACTGGAAAAGTGCTTCCCTCTGGAAGTAGATTTAATTAATCTATGAGGGACTGCATCCGTGAAGTAGCCAACTCCCATACTATATATTTCAAGTCCACTTACCCCCATGACGACATTCCCCATGATGAGCAAGCCTTGGAAACATCGTGCACCAGTATCACCTTTTGCCATTTTCAGTCTGCTGTGCAACCTAGAAGCAAATTACAGATTTATCAGCGCTGTAGGTTCTCCCAAAAGCTTTCTGCCTGCCCTCCCACCTCTGCCCTTGAAAGCAAGAACAAGCACACACAAACTACTATAATATATTGAGAAAGAAGCCTCGGAAATTACATCAGAACAAACTATCCACATAACTTTTTATTTGGTGTACCTGTAAGCAGGTTTGTACATTCTTTCAATACCTACCCATGGAAAATGGAAAGTTTCATCACAGATATATGTGATATATGTATACATTTGTGGAATTTAAAAGGTAACTCAGAGATCATTTGAGAACTGATAAAAAAGTAGATGACAGAGCAAACAGAGGCCATATCTTTTATTGGACCAAAGGCTGTTCAAAGTTATCTCGAAGGGCAAGCAGAGGAAACGGAGCACACATGAATCTGATGGCAGTGTAAACCAGGGATGGGAAACGAGAGGGCTTCCAGATTATTAAAAACCATTGGACATGCTGGCTGGGACTGATGGGAATTGGAGCCCAAGAACACCTGGAGAGCCATAGCTTCCCCATCCCTGGTACAAACCATACCTAGGAAAAGAAAGTTTCATGAATCCCACGGGTGTCTTCAATTATCCAAATGGCCAGGCACAGAAGGAAGAGAATAGACAAAATGCATCTGGCTATACCTGATGCTGCAGTCACCAAGGTGCCCTTTGAGTAGAACTGTTCAGTGGGGTCAGGAGCCAATCAACTATGAAACTAATGAAGTTTAAGCTTCTGGTCCTAATCCCAGATGGCCCCCAGAAGCGACTTTAGTCCATGTTGCTTTAAAATGTTGGGTCTAGTACAACCAATTTAAGTTGCACAATTCAAATTAACCAATTTAAGTTGCACAATTCAAATTGATTGTTTTTGTGTGTATATATTCCCGAAGTTTGAGAGTCAGCAGCACAGATATTGTAAATGTGTAGTGATCTATAAATGCAGGTTCAGACTGACTGTATTTCTTGCAATACCACATTTGGAAGATTACACACACACAAATACACAGGATACACAAATACACAAAATGTTGCAGTGTGGAATAGCCTTGTTCAGTTCTAGTCAGTGGGCCATGCCCTCCATTGGGACACTCCATTCCATTGCCCTTTCCATCTGGTTTGCCATCTCCTCCACCCTGGTCGGCATTCTGTAGTCACCAAACAAGCCCATGTGTGTGGCTATCAATAAATAGATAACAAATGGTGGAATTTTGACTAAATAAGCATTGGTACTCATACCCAAACATCAGAAACAAGAGGAACGATGCAGCCCTGCTTCAATTTACAGTCACCTTCTAAAAAATAAAAATAAAATACAATGCTTGTACATCCTCCCACTTTTGTGAAGTCTAAAGCTGCATCGTGCGTGAAGTGTTTTCATAAACTTGTCACACCCGTTTCCAGTCTAGGAGGCGCCTTCTACCTTGGGCTATGGGTTCTGCTGCATAGCTGAAAATGTCATTGCCCATTTCACGCAGATTGCCTGCAGCGAGTCTGACCCAACCTTCCCAGGGAGAAAGTCACACCCATGTGAGACACTAAAACTATGCTTCAGCATCCGTGACAAAAGAGGCACGGGAAGATAATGTGAAGAGCCAGTTGTAGCTGGAACATGAGAGACCAGGAGAGTCACATTCCAGTTGCATTTTTGAAAGTTCTGAGCTCTCGACTGGGCACCCCAGGAATTCTTAACGGAATTCAAATACCCTCAACTCTGACATGCTACAGACAGGGGCAAGACAAACTCCTCCTTCATGTTCTGGACAGCTGGATCCCACAGTCCTTCGTGTATAGGGTTTGAACATCTGTAGTGGAGAACCTGGCACACTCGTGTCAGTTCCCTTTCAGATCAGGGTTATACGTCATGTTGTGAGCCTGCAGGATACAGCAGTCTGCCTGCCTTAGAAGTTCACCCTTCCATGCATGGAGGATTTGTGAGGTTGGTCACAGTGATGCAGCAAGCACAACACACCCTTGTACAATGGGAAATGCATGGGTTTAAACATCTGAATAGGGCTTACGTCCTTCAGCCATGGGCAGGAATGATGTGTCATCATGCTAGTCACCTTTTTCATGGACGGAACCTCTTCACCTTTAATAACTGAACCACAGGCTGAAATCAATAGCTGAAGCCATTCCAGTACGCACAATTATGGGGGGGCCTGTCAAATTTCTGTTGATCCAGTTGGATATAGATCCTCTTTTCCATTAAATCAAACCAACAGCCCTAATGCCACTTCTGACAACTCCCACTGTGGTCTCAATCACCCGGTCTACTAAAATAGTAGGGATACTGTGAATGAAGTATGTTGCAGGGTATATCTAAGAGGCTCAGTGGTTCAGTAGGCCAGCTGGAGACCCAAGTTTGGGAAACCCTGCAGTAGGGTTAATGTCAATTGAGACACTGTATAACAAGATGAGGAGTGCAAAAGAAGTGGTATTGGTGTAAGAGCATCCAAGCCAGTCTTTGACAAGGTGTAGAAGATATTTGGAGAAGGCTGTTTCATCGCTACCAATTCAGTTCTCACTTTTAATGAAGAAGAGTAAGCATGCCCTAAAAAGGTTGCTGCACAGGTAGGGAAGGGAAAATCTGTCCATTTCCATTTCTCTTGGTTTCTCAAGTTTCCAGTCCTGAGTTCAGTTCTCCACATTTTCACATCACTTTGTAATCTTTTTATTAAAAAAGGTTATCATGAAATTCACCAGCATTTTAATACATTTTCCCCCCAATTGTGACATTTTTACATAACTGTGTCTAATGCACACCTTTGCACTAATATGATGTTTTGTGTACAATTTTCACTATTGCAAACTTATTTATGCATGCATTACTCGACTATATGCATTTCTGTACACAATATTTGGTTATAAAACTTCACTGCACAATTCGTAGAAGTACAGATTTTGAAAGATGGCTGTGTTTGGGTTCACAGATTGTTTTGGAAAATTTGAATTTGGTAGATTTGCCTTTAAATGAGAAGTGAATTGTATTTGTCCCCATTTCTCTACCTACAGGTAAAGTGTCACCTTACACCTACCCCCCCCCCCGCCCCCAAACAGAGAAAAGTCATCACATGAAAAGAGGGTAGAAGATGACTGAGATTTGCACAAATTTTTCACATGCTATTTTACAGGTGTGAATTTAGAAATAAATAGTATGTTTTGAATATTCCGATTATATTCAGAGTTTTCTGACCACATTAACTATTTTCTGGCCACAAGATGGTCAGAAGCTTTGGTTCCATTTAGGATGAAGAGCAGCTTGATGTATTGTCCAAGCCCAGATAAACTGGTTAATCTTAACCATGATTAGTGAAAACAAGCCAACTTCAAACCATAGTTTAGAAGGCAGCTTGTTTTCACAAACCATAGTTAAGATTAACCACAGTTCAAAGTTATTTCAGCACAGCAATGGTTTAAAGTTAAAAGTTAATTCAACATCGTGGTGAATCTAAAGCAGAAGTGGAAGTTTCCAGTATCCTCACTATGATACTAGAGGAAGAGAGCGTACCGAAGAGAGACAAACCTGAGGCTCTTTTTTGAAATGCTAAACCATGCTTTACCATTATGTATGAATGCTTTCATTATATGATGGCTAACATAGGTTTCACTCCAAATCCACAAATGTATAGACAGACAAAAGACCTACTGAATAACACAGTTACTGCCAAGTAGTAGTAATACATGGGATCGTAATCTTTAATTTTAAAATGTTTAACTTCCTACTCTTCCCTAAGCAAGTGAAATCTGCACCGCCTCCACTGCCCTTAAAATTATTGAGATCAGATAATAGTTTCCTTCGTGCCACAGAGGCTGGAATGCCCCTGCTTCGACCAGTTCCTCAGCCAGTTGAACAGGCTTCTTTATCTTTCTCTCAGAACTAATATCATGTTAGTTTATGCATTTATTGTCCTCAAAAAAACACACACGCAGGAAGCTTGCTTTCAGAACCGGAGTTCTGATTTGCTCGCAGCTATTTGCCCAGGTCTAGTGCAGAAAATGAAATGAAGCCATGCACGTACAGTGGTACCTCGGGTTACATACACTTAAGGTTACAGACTCTGCTAACCCAGAAATATTACCTTGGGTTAAGAACTTTGCTTCAGGATGAGAACAGAAATCATGCAGCGGTGGCGCAATGGCAGCAGGAGCCCCATTAGCTAAAGTGGTGCTTCAGATTAAGAACAGTTTCAGGTTAAGAACGGACCTCCGGAACAAATTAAGTTCTTAACCCGAGGTACCACTGTATTAAGGAAGCAGCTGGCATGAAATAAAAGGTAGAATGTAAAAGTACAACAGGATGCCATGATGAAGAAAAGGGTAGCCAAAGCCCAGGTGTCACCTACACAGGACCCATGGGCACCAAATGTACCTGTCATATGAAAGGTCACATCCCCTTGAAAATCCACAAAGCACGAAAGACAGCTGGCTCTGTCTGCTCAGTAGCTGTTTGGATTGATCAGTCTCCCTTACATGCCTCCATGGCAACCATTTTGTGACTGGCGCCAACAGAAATTACTCAAAATTGCAAAGGAGTCCACTGGCCCAGGAAGGTTGACATCCCCTGCCACAGCCTATAGCAGCACTGCCAAACTGAGCACCGTCCAGATGTTTTGGATTACAATTCACATCATCATGGGTCACGGTCAGAGATCACGAGAGGGGTATGTCTGTGTGAAAGATTTAGAGGGCCTCAGGTCTGGGAAGACTGACCTATTTCATTTTTGTAAATTCTAAGAGGGACAGTTGGGTTTATTGGGCGTGTGGGTGTGTATAATGGGTGGAAACAGAGAATTCTGTGGCATGATCTTGATGCACATTGAACCACATCTAGGGAAAAGCAGCATTAGGCGGCTTGAGCGCTGCAACCCCAGAGTCAGTCACGACTGGACCTAATGGTCAGGGGTCCCTTTACCTTTACTATACTGACAACTGCCCTGAATTGTTATGAGCAAGATGGGAAATCAAACCCTCTTATGCTTGCCT